CAAATGGCACAATGGCAGGCCTGTTATTTCCTGGTAGTTGGTGATCACCTCTCTACAGCATGTCCTCTGGTTTTGAATGGGCTTGTTTGTGAGTGTCAGACCTCCCAGGGAAGTCCTGTGAATGAGGCATCGGCGCAGTCAAGCTTCAACACGTCTCCCCTTATTCAGCAACACATCCTGGGCTTCTGAAAAAACACAGGCCTGGATGGCACAAACAAACCGGCCTGTGTGTTCGTGTCTGTCACCTGCTCGAGGTGTCTTGACAAAATCACTGATGACCCAGCTGTATAAACTGGACTGACCCTGAACCTGAGGCATAGCTAGTTTGCATTTCTTCCATACTAATTTATTGAAATATCACATGTTTTTTTCTTTTGAAGAGCACATGAGTCAGGACAGCTGTATCATTTGAATCAACCAGGATCAGTTTTACAGCATTTGCGAAATGTGTGGAAAAATAAAAGTTTAGTAACAGTGTTTCTAAATGATTATAATCCCATTGCCAAATAAACAGCCTGTGCCATGAAATCAGGACTTTGTACCCAGTGGAGGCCACATTGTGAATGCCTGTTTTAGCCAGTCTCTCTGTTGACATATTAGCAGGGATTTCATAATCATATTCAGTGTTTCCACACACCTACCATGTGTAATCTGTAAATGAATATTAATCAAACACTCCTTCCCTATCTTCGCTATACGCTATCGCTAAGTTAGGTTTGAGAAGGGTCACACTTCAAAACATCCACTGCTGATCCCTAATGTTGCCAATGGTACAATCACAGGGTTAGAGTAACATGCCATACTGTTTATGCCACACAAAAAGTTTATTCCATTGACGAAAATGAATAATGGCAGCAAATGTCATGGCAACATGGCGTGAGTAAGTTAGTATTAAACAAGGTTGATCTAGCTTAAAGCAGCATTCAGATTGATCATAAAACACAGCATACTAAGAACACCAGAAACATATAGATAGTACTGTATATTTGCTCCAGGTGGTGCAAGTGGAGTCTCATTCTGTACAAGCACTTACACATAATTGTCAGTTTGGAAACGTAGACAATGACCGATGTTCATGTCAAAAACATATTTATTAACATACACACACACAAAAATAGAATCAATCATACAAAGTGTGACTCCAATGAGAAAGATATTTGTTGGAATCATGATCACATTGAACACGTTTGAATTAAGACACTTTTTTGAATTTTTGTAATTCAATATAACTGCAATACATTGAACACATTAATGATTAAAATGGAAAAGAGACACTTGGATTGTAATACAAGCAAAGTGTCCGTCTGTAAACATCACTGTAGGAGTAATTATTGTTGTGTTCTTCAGGTAATCCAGAGGTGTTTTTACCAGAAGAGGACTTGGGAAATCCCTTTGTTGCACATGTGAGCTATTATTTTCTCAGACAAGAGACATACAGTCGCTACATGTGGCTGTGTAGTTACTGCACAATGGTTTGAAGGAAATGACAGCAGCCAGATAGAGGGCGTTTACTCTTCATTTCAGTCATCTGGATCTGTCAAATTGGAAAAACAACATTTTCAGTTATCAAAACGATGCATTGAAACAGACAGACAGCACTGAACATGGATTTATCACAACCTTACCTTATATACTGTTATAACCGTTATGACTAATGTGCCTGCTTACAGTTGCAATGACAAATGTTAATTCCCTTATACACTTTGAACTTCTGTTGGTCTCCAGAAGCTCTTTAGAAAAATGCCTTACATTTGCTCATTAGATGTTTGTCTGTCTGCACCTGCTGGTTGTGAACTTTGTCTGCTGTCTGATCTGGAGTGGATTTATTTTTGCCTTGTTTGCTAAAACAGGCTGCCGTTGGAAACCAATTTGATGAGAGGGGCAAGAACAAACCATATAAATGTGTTGGTTTTACAAACAGAACAAGGATACTTCTGTTTTTATAAGTAGGTGATAGTCTTGGTCGCTCTACCAAAGTCTTTCCCAATTATCCATTTGAAGAATGGAGATTTAACTATATTTCAAATCTTATACAATGCAGAACCTAAAACAGGACACCTCAGACAAAGTTGATGTTGGCAGTTTAACCTCTGTTGTAAGTTACTGCAATAGGGACTTGCTAAATATTGAATCACAAGTAACCATGGCAACAATAATACTTAAATTGCAAACCTATGATGTGAGACTAAATGTTCAAGGTTAGCAAACTTGCTTATCAAGGACTCTCCTGACAGATTTCACCATGGTTGTGCATACAAATAAATAACATACACTTGCAAAAGATTGTTAGTTCACTTTGATATATATCTTTTGGCCTCAAACTGTAACATACATAACGTGATGCTTCCTGCTAAAGAAGTTTCCAGGAAACAACATGAACATCTCCTAAGTCTTTGTAACATTTTCTAAGCTATATGGGTACAACCCTATTCATTACATTGCTAGATTGAAACGATCTAAGACCTAATAAAATATTAAGGAGGGATTTGAAAACAAACCAATGGGTAACATATCAGATTTTGGAATAGCTGGCATGACCAAATCCGGGGGTGGAGAGAGGTCTGCAGTTGGACCGTTAACAAAGTTGTTACTTTCAAATACACCAGAGCAGAGTCAACAAAATGAGCATTCAGGATTTTATTTGGGATTGTTCATTATTGACTGTGCTAGATTTTGTGATTTTATCATCCTGGCTGAACTGTTTGCTTAAAGATGAACAGATAAACAGTCCGTCTGTGTTGTGTCCTGTGTTTTTTGTTTTTGTGCTGCTTCAGGTCCTAATTTTCTCAAATGATTGTACTGCCTGTGTGTTTGTCTGACCTTTAGTATATCAGTAGTACACATTCCTCAGACACATCATTGGATTTCAAAGCCTGACATGTAGTTGGTTCAACAAAGGCAGACACCAAAGCGTGACAAAAATAATTCGGACATTGTGGCTGAAATCATTGAACTTGTTCAACATTCACGAGAAAGCCATGTGATGTATTATTGTCAGTTGTTAGAAAACAACACTGGTTATATCAGGACATTAATGGTGGATGTTAGTGATAGTGAATAGTTCATTATTTTTTATATTGCTATGTGGCACATTGTGGCATATTTAGCAATTTCAAACACATCTTCAGGTCTTAGCTGGCAGTAGCAATAGCATGCTAACACATTAGCTAGTTTTGTTGATGCAGCCGACTTGCACACACTTGGTTTGTGTTAACTTTTCCTTTTAAACGTGTAGTCTGCATTGTAATCCTCACTTAATAGATGTTTAACAGCAGTAACCACTGAATGATAAAATGTGTGGGCCTGTGTGTTTTCATTTACATGTATGTCATGGTCTTAGTATTTAAGGACAGCAGCCCCCATAGCAAGACTAATAATCCTTTGCTAGACGTGCCTCAGTGGAGCCTGTGACCTTGCATTGCTCGGATTCCTCTGTTTGAATAAGCAGTGCCCCCACCAGAGACTTTACAGGCTATAATTCAAGGCATTGGGTCTGCAAATGCCTGTTTTATCTATGTGCTGACTGAATGATGTGACACTTGAATGTCTCTGAGGTTATTGATTCCTTGGCCCTCTGAACAACTTGATAACATTGCAGTACCACAGTGTGACCTTTGTGTGACTTTATGTGATTGTGTGTTTATCATACCATCTATAGCTTTTCATTTTAAGCGAATAATAACGCCAAATATCATGTGTTAAAACCATGGACTGAATATAATGAATTGACATTTGTTTGTCATGTTGGCCATTGTCTTCTTTGTTTTAGGGGAAAAAAGTGGTACGCAAGGTTGAAGAGTAGTACAATCTAATGCTTCAAAAGACATTTTAGGAAAAACATTTCTAAGAATGACCTTTCTGAACTGAAAACACAAGTGTGAAGGTGTTCACGGACAACACCCAAACCGGAATAACAGAGACCTGTCAATCCCAAGGTAGCCCCACCCTAAAGCATACTCTTCTTTGTTATGTATTTTACCTTATATGGAAGCATACATTAAGAAATTACCATTATGCTGTATTGAGATTCATACAGAAAATGAGACTATAAAGTTATAAGGAACTATTTTTTCATAGGTAACAAATGAGAAGACACTTCCGCATTGGCTTCCCTTATGTAGCCATGGATGTTCCTGCATGTTTAAAAACCATGTTATAATGACCCGGTTTAAGTCACACACATTTTTTTGTTTACAGACAGCAGGTTTTCATTGTTCACAACCTCTAGGGGAGCATTAGAAGAATGGTGTTATTATCTCAAATACGTCATAGAATTACTATGTATGACTCTCCAACAGATGGCCAGCTGACAACAAATCTTGTGATGAATGAAAATAGTTGTACGGTATATGAAATATATTGGCCTGTGCCTTACTGGGTCACATGACTGCTCTCACCTACACTGTATTGACATATTTTCCATAATGTTAAACAAAGACAAACACTCAAAAATGCCCTTCAAAACAGAAATGTGTTTGTCAGTCACAATTTAAAAAATAATACTAGCAAACCAAGTGATGTTCACTAGTGCATTGGGTGTTGCCCCTTTTCACAAAACACCAAACACTACACTTTAAATGTTATTAAACCACAACATTCACTATAAAACACATTTTTTACAGTTACAGAAACTGTGGTCTCCATCTTGCGTCTTCTTATCTCTCACATGTCTGTCCGTTCACAGCCATTTCTTCAGGCTCAATGAGTAAATCTGTCCACTTGGTTGTCTTGTGACTTGTTTGCAAAGTGGACTTGAGCTCTTTTATGTAATAGCCTCACTGCTTTTTAAAACCTGAGGAAGAAAGGATTCCTTTCATGCTGTCTGCTGCACTTTGATTTTCAATCAGATTATTGTGTGGGATAGCAGAAACACTTTTAATGACTTAAGAAATTCACACAAATGCATGTAAGTGGAGAACCATTCCCAGTCATCTCTAAAGTAATAACATGTTTGTCCTGTGTTAAAGCTACTCTGAAAATAATTTATCTTTTAACTACAGGGTGTCGACCAAGAGCAGAGCACCATCCCCCCCAGGACTAAAGAAGCTGGATTCCCCAGGTTATTCCCAGTGGTACCCAGGAAACCTTCATTTAGCCATGGACCAGAAGGAGAACCTCATTGATAAAGACCTCTCTCTGGTCGTGGTTCTGCCTGACGGAGTGGAAGAAATGACCACGGTCCATGGAAGGTACAGTTGGAGCACTGCAATCCAATTTTTAAGTTGGAGCATTGTGTTTTTGTTCATACTGATCATTGTAATTCTACATTTAAACATTACATTATGATGTCACTTCAAGTCAAACAGTGCAGTTCCAGTCAGACTGAGTCAGATAGGTGGAGTAGCAGAGAGGTTTTAGTTCATATTTGTTCTAGGCAATTTGTACTTGCGTTATTTTCTTCTCTCAACAAATGATACGAGCAAGAATGAAAGAGCGTTTGCATCTCAAACTCAGAAGATTATCTCATGATTGCATGCAATGGCGCAATAAGGACACAGATAATACTCTTGAAATCATCAGCTAGGTCTGCAACACCTACATATGTATATGTATCAACCTACCTCTATGTCAATCTGTCCTTCAATTACGCTACTCACTCACACAGCTCATACTTTCCATTAACAGAGTTTACTTTAGATATCATTATTATTTTCTTTCTCTAAACCCTTTCTAAGTGCCTACCCAGCAGAGTTAACGCTTTATTTGGAGGATAATGGCAGGATAATGGTTTGGAAAAAAAGGAAATTCATTTATTAAAACTGTCAAATAAACATATTTTTCCTTTTGTTTTAAAATTCATCATAATGTTGTATTTTGCATTGTCTCCCCTCTCATGCTGTACAAATTATTTGTTTTTGTTTTGTCGTGTCCTTCATGTCTTTCAGCAAACCTATAATGGATCTTTTAGTGACGCTTTGTGCAAAGTACCACCTGAACCCATCAAGCCACACCTTAGAACTGGTCACCGCCAAGAAGAACAACACCAAACTCAAGCCAAATGCTCTCGTGGGAACTTTGGATGCAGAGAAGATCATACTTAAGCCTAAAGGGGTGGATAAAAACAAGAAGACCGGTCCTCAGATGCCTGAGGTACGCTCAGCGCATGACACAATGCATGATTTTCATGTTGAGTACGTTTTTATCAAATAAGGTGGTATGTTTTGTATTCTTTAGGCAACTGTTCGGATGGTGATAAACTACAAAAAGACCCAGAAGACTATACTACGAGTCAGTCCTAAAGTTCCCCTGTCTGAACACTTACCAGCAATCTGTGAGAAATGTGAATTTGACATGGGAACAACAGTTCTGTTGAGAGATGGCCAATCACTGGCCCCTTTGGACTTGTCCAACTCTCTTAATGATTATGCAATAAGGGAGGTTTATGCAAGAGACATGAGTGGTAAGTACTGATTTAAAAAAAATCACTTCTTGCTTCATATGGAACGATGTTTGATCATACTAATCATTCACTTCATCAGCTCACTTTTTGCATGTTGTTGTTGTTTATATCGCTTATAAATCGTATGCTTGTTGGCCCTGCAGGACAACCTGTTTCTCCTGTGTGTCCAGCCTCACCCGTGCATGCAGGTATTAGTTTGTAAACTGTATGACTGTTTTATCAGAGCAGTCATAATTCTGACCAATGTCATCTGTCAACTGTTTTTTGCAGTCACACCGGGCAAAGACAAAGATCAAAAAGAGAAAGAAAATAAAGGCCTCTTTAGCAAATTTAGAAAAAGCAAGAAAAGATCTGACCAGGTAATGCAGCTTCTTCTTTCATGTACTGATTATGCAAATATACAGATGTATCAGAGAGTAACTTGAAATGTTCAGAGGGAGGTTTGTTTACTTTGGCTCGCCATTGGTTGACGTGCACAATGTTGTTTGGGAACAGGCCTCTTATCATGTTCTGATTGGATGTTTGTTCTTTAAAGGCAACGACAGCCAGTGCTCCAGCTTCTCCTGTGCTTGTGATCAAGCCTCGACCTCTCAGCATGGCCTTACCTAGCTCCAATTCGTCCTTGTATAGCTCCACTACGCTACCTACAGATGTGACAAAGAAGAGACGGGCCCCCCAACCCCCACTTCTGGTGTCTCAGAGCTGCCCGTCCGATTTCAGCATTCGCCGGAGACTCAACTCTGAACCTATTGGCCAGGTGGACGGTGACCCGGTGAGTGAATATTTAGAAATGTCAGCATAACCCTGAACAATTATGTGAATGACAGCCATTTGATTTTTTGTGGTGCATTGGTTATAATAATTGAATCTTGTTGTGTACCATAGATGTCTGGTTTAAGCCGTGGCTCCTCGGCAGAGTCGTCGCTTAAGAGAACCAAACGCAAAGCTCCTCCGCCCCCCAAGTCCCCTAGCGCCGCTGTCCAAGAAAAACTTCCTCTGGATGAAACTTTGCAAGGTTAGTCTTCGATTACATTTGTGTATATGTTTAATTGTTTAATCACTGAGTTGAATATTGCCTGTCCTTTTCATCAATGATGTGTCATGTGTACTTTGGCCTCCAGGACAGGTATTTAATGCTGTAGCCTGAGTCTACAGTTTCTATCTTATATGACTATTGTGCCTCCTAGTGGTCATTATTAAACAGTGGCTTATTTAAAAAACGTTCTTCAGCCCTGTTGGAACATGGAAGAAATACTTGAGGGTGGTAGGAGCATGGGAAATATCAATCTTAGTAGGTTTTAAGTTTTAAAGTAAAAATTCTGCTTAATTTGTTTGTTTTGGGCTTCATCTAAGAAATTACGCTGCACTTGTTTTGCTTGCAAGTACTGTACTGCCTTTGTTAACTTTCATTGTATTAGCTCTTGAAATTCGTCTGCCTTTTTGCCTGCTTTCTAGAGTCTACTCTATAGAAACCTATAAACTCAAGGAATACTTTTATAGTATGATCCCTCCTCTTTTTCCAAGTTATTTTACTTTAGAACTCCAGTTGAATATCCAGGTACCCTTGAAATATTGTTGTAAACATCAAAACCATAAACAAATGTGTGTTGAGAAAACAGTCATTTTTTCTACATTCAAGATTATTGTAAGTTTTTAATTCCCTGGTATTTTCCTTTGTTGAGTATAATTAACTTGCTTTGAAATACTTTCCTGTGATTGTGTAGACAAATCTTCCCGTCACTGTATTGTACTGTGAGGGAAGCTCCACCCGTCCTGTATACAAAGCAATTTCAACCAAAAACAAAGAATATTTCCCAAAAACAAAAATAAACTGAGGTCCGATCAACAAACAGGCAATTCATTTTGGCTTGCATAACAAAAACTACAGAACTAAATTCACTTAAATCCATCAACTGTGATTGATCATTGTATATACGGTTGTCCTGTATATTCCACACCCTTTAAGCATGGTTGTATTTCTTGCCTAGTGCTTTGAACCACTGTATCTTCTGTATCTTCTTTTTATTTACTCCTTTGTAACTGTGTGTCCCTTGACTAGTGCATATATCCCAGAACTCATTATAAGAAAGTTGAATCACTGACTTATGACTGTTATTGACACACACAATTGCTTACCTGTCGTTATTCTCATATTTAAAACTTTAAATTAGATTAGATAAAATTAGAAGCATTTATTGTCATTATACATGTAGAATGAAAAGAGAAAAGTTACTCCTTTTTTAAGGTGCTATCAAAACATTCAGAATAGACAAAAGACTAAAGTTCACAGAGAAACATCACTTCCTCTGCTGTTTCCTAAGCAGCCCAGTGCCTCTCAGTAGATAAATAGATCAGAGGCTGAGAACAGTGTGAAGCTGCAGTTTTGTTTAAGTAGCCTTGAAATTCCTTTTGCTTTCTGGTCCTCTGTGATGCACTTCCTTACAGCGCTAAGTTAAGAACTACACAAGGGAGACTGTGATGTAAAAGATAGTTTTTATGGAACTCATTTACCAAAACAACCTTTTTTTGGGAAGGGTTTTTAAAATTACGATGCATTTTTACATTACATGTCATTTGTTAGACGCTTTTATCCAAAGCGACTTACATACATTCAGTACAGTGGACAATCCCCACAGGAGCAATTTGGGGTGAAGTGTCTTGCCCAGGGACACAACGACATGCTGACTGCAGTGGGACTCGAACTTGGTACCCCCTGATTCGAAGCCCAGCATTCTATCCACTGAGCCACAGCCAGCCGCATTTAAGAGACTATAACATTTTTGCAAATTGTGTGAAAGATTTTCCTACCATTTCCAAGTCTCATCAACAGTTGTTTATAAGTTACAGCCAACACATGCACTTGAAATAATAGATTTCATGTGATGTTAACTGCTCCACTGACCACCTTTGCAACATTTGACTTAAATAATAATAATAATAATAGCTTGGATTTATATAGCGCCTTTCATGAGACCCAAGGTCGCTTTACAAAGAAGAACAGGGGCAAAACAAACATAACAAAAACAAAAGGCAGTCAGACAACCAGTCAGACAGACAAAACAACAAATAGATTAGGGGCCAAAGGCCTTAGTAAACAGATGGGTCTTGAGGGCCCTTTTGAAGGCGCCAAGCGTGGGGATGTTGCGGATCTCCGCGAGGAGAGCGTTCCAGAGGGTGGGGGCTGCCACACCGAAGGCTCTGTCCCCGAAGGTTCGCAGTTTGGTGCAGGGGGTGGTAAGCAGGCCAGAGTCTGAAGACCGCAGGTTCCGGGATGTGGCATGTGGGAGAAGGATGTCTTATAGGTACTGGGGGGCATGGGCATGGAGGGACTTGTAGGTAAATAGCAGGTATAGTAAATGTTAATGATTTGACATAACTATTTGATGTCTTTGTATCACAGGTGGGGTAGCTGCTAACACACTGGAGGAGATTATGGAGCAAGAGGAGACCACTGCCTCTGTAATGTCTGCAACTGCTAGTGATACCCAGGGAGAGGACAGCAGCCTCAGCATGTCTGCTGACGCTTCACTGCATTCCCCGTCCCCAGATACTGAGATACTGAGCACAATGTCCACGGAGGCAAATGGGGAAGATCAGTCTCGTGATCTATCCTCAGATGGCAAGTACGAACTCTAATATCACTTCTCCAACCTCGGCTTTGTTTTAGCATTAGCATCGGCAATACTTTTAATTCCTTCTCTTTGCTTTACTTTTACAGTCAACTGCAGAGTACAGTGAATGAGTCTGCCAGTGTGAGTGATGTGAGGACAACTGAAGGCACAGACCATTCTGAACCGGCAGATAATAGTGGGTTTGCCATTTATTATAGTGCTATTTTTTTATATCTGTGCTGCAGATGTATTGCACCTACTTGTGTATTTCATGATTTTTGCCTTACTATACCAAAGTGAAGTCAACTCAACTGTCACATTACACATTTTCTGTTTTTTATAGATAATGGGCCATGTCCAGTTGAACATGTAAGCCAACAGGAGATCTGTGAAGCGTCTGCACCTCAAAGTGTCGAGATGGATTGTAGCACTTTACCCAGCAGCTTCCCTCCGCCTCCTGTGATGCAAGATGCAGAAGCACAGGCCTCTGTTGAGACAAACACTGAAACCCTCCGGGAGCAGGCTGACAGACCTGAGATCCCAGTGGCCACCAGCACATCGCGCCCCATTGCAGAGGATGCTCAAGTGCAAACAGATTTCACACCACTACCTGTGCCTCCACAACAACCCATGGATGAAATCCCTTCCTCAGCTAATTTGCCTGCCTTTGAAACCGCCGGTAAAAAAGATATAGCCACTGGAACGGAGGAACTGGACAAGCCTGATCTCAAAGATTCTTTACCCCACACCTCAGAGACCTCATCGTGCCAAGATTCAACCCCAAGTACTCCCGCCACAACAAAGGCAACATCTATTTATGCCACAAACTCTGAGCCAAAGCCCAAGCCTTCCAATGAGCTGACAAGAGATTACATCCCCAAGATGGGGATGACGACTTACACTATCGTGCCTCAGAAATCTCTGGACAAACTGAGATATTTTGAAGTTGCACTGACACTGGAGGCTCCTCCTGATTCTCCTGAAGAGAGACTCGATATTGGTGCTCTTCAGTTGGAAGAGATCACAGCGCCGGAGGATCAAACCGAGGACTCAAAGGAAAAAAATGAGCTACACTCTACTATACCCAGGGAAGACTTAATGACTAGCACTACTACTACTACTACTACTACTACTACTACAGAAGACACTGTTATTGGAAGTATACCTGAATCAATTCATTCCTCACACCCAACAAGTTTACCTATAGCAGATGAAAACATCTCATCCTCGGCTAACGTGGCATCTGAAGCAGGTTCACCAGCTGAGGTCAAGGAGATGAAAATTCCGCCCGCAACTAAACCTAAGCCTGGTTCTTTCCGCTTGGCACAGCACAAAAAAACACCTGGGTATTATGTCACCTCAGCAGCAGAAAAGAAACTTAATGCCAGTCCTGGCATCCAGAAGGAGGCTCAAGGAAGTGCAGAGAGAGCAAAGTTACCACCTCCTCCTCTTCCCCCTCCCTTGCAGTGTCAAGAGGAGACAACAGGAGGCGCTAATGTTGAGCTGAGCCCTAAGGGGGATGACAAGAATGTTGCCTTCATGCGAATGACTAGGCAAAGTAGTTTGCCATTTAAAGAACCAACTACAGGGTTAAGCTTGGAAAAATTAAGGAGCTTTGCAGCCGCTAGGCCTTATTCTCCTGCGATCCCATCCCGCTTCGCCCAGGCCGTGTCCTCTGCTGTAAAAAGGAGCCATTCCTTATCCCATGGGCCAAAGTCTCCTCAGTCTCCTCAGTCTCCTCAGTCGCCTGTTTCACCGTCCTTCTCCCCAATCCGAAATCGCTCATCAGTCATAGAATCCGAAGGATTATCTGAGATTAAGGTGAGTTTTGATAGCATAAACTTACATTTAAAAATCTAAATAAAGATGAAAGAAGCAAAGGACTACTTTCTAACCATGAGACCAGAACAGCTGCAGAGCATTTTACCTCATAAACTGATGTAGTAATGCTCTGGTAGAAGGGCACTTTCCACTGCTCAGCAATGCACTTATTGATTTTACCTTGAAGGAGTTAGAAGTGAACCATAGTGTTATCCTACAACTGCTTTAGTTAGTTTGAAACTGCAAACAATTGTGCTTATTTTCAATGCCGTATCAGCCATTTACACTGATCAAAGGTATGTAATTGACTTTCATGGACATATTAAATCTATTCAAGGACTAAACAAGGGGCTCAATCCACTGATTCAGTTCATTTGAAGTAATTTTGCAGAATATTCCATGCAGAAGAAATTGAATGATGAAGGCTTTATACTCCATAACCCATTGCTATCTGAGCTTTATGGGTGGCAGATGTGATTAGATTGTAATCCAATGAATTTTAGCACATAATTCGATTTTCTGTGTCTATCATGTCTGGAATGTGTTGTACAGTAATGATAGAGACATAACGACAAGATAGACAAATAGCCATTAGTAATTAATGATAGAGCAACATGCATTCCTGCTCTAATGAGGTACTCCTCCTTTCACTGGAGGCATCATGGTCATTTATGCTTATTGTGCAGGGAAATCTTATTACTGCATTTACTTTTGTTGGACTCAATAAAGTTGTTTTATAGGCTTGTAAAAAAACATGTAAAATATAATGCAGTCTATTTTTCATCTTTACGTTGTCTGGAAGACAGTCTTAATGATGGCATAAATTGTGTCCCTTCTTTAACATCACAGGATGGTGAAAAAGAAGATGTGGAAGGCGACAAAGACTCCCCTCTGCAGGTTGCAGAGGGTGAACCGACATCTTTTGGTGGGGTTGTTCAAATGGAAGGAGAGAGCAATCCATAGCAGTGCCTTCATTCTTTTGACAATACATCATCTACTGTAAGCAAATTCTAACAGTCATTGTAATATGATATACAAATGTTTCCACAACACATGCCTGAACCATTCTTTTCTTCCAGGAGGAGCTTTCCTGAACCCTTTAATGGCCCAGAAACGGTCCGAACTGTCTGTTTTACCTCTTTTGGCAGTCTCCAGCAGTGTACATAAAATGATGTATTTTGATAATTAATAATTACTGTATCTGTTTTCTTTCTCTCACATGTCATTAAGTAATTTCCCTGGCGCTGGCCTGATATTGTAAAGCTTCTCTTTTATTTTGTGTGATGACTATCTTGCATTTAATGCATTACTGTTGTGAGTAAATAAGAACGTTAAATGAAAACAATTCTATAAATTATTAAAAACACGTATTATCTAAATAATACTGGATGTGTAGGACAGACGAGGTTTTTCCTATGGTACTTAAATGCTCCTTATATTATACCACAAATATATATTTAAGTATTGCAGAGTTTTGATTTAACTATTTGCATTTAAATACACAGAGGTTGTTTGTGTCAAGCTGTGTTGTTATGAATAAAGCTTCTATCATTTGTGTTGCCTTCAGTGACTGCGTAAATTATGTGTTTTGTTTGTTTTTTGTTGCATATAAACTGCTGAACTCACTTCCCGTTGAATAGCCTACGGTCTGTTATCCACAACAGGTAAAACGTGCTCAGTGTGTGACGTCCTGCAGGGCACGTTACAGTAGAGCACCTGGGCTACACGTGTGCTATTCATTCCCCACTGGAGCAGCGATATGAAGACCAGCTTTCAAGATTTAAACTGGAGAAAGAGGCTCCAGGTAAGTTCAGCTGTAAAAAGAAAAGAGAGGAATAAAATCCACGTTTCAACTGGGGGTTATAGTCGGTTCGAGCTGGCGTAGGAAGCAGCAGTAGCCTCACTGCTACGGATTCGCTGCTCACTGTGCATTGTTATGCGTTGTTGAACTTTGTTGTTGAATTGCATGTTCTTTATTCATAATAAAAAAAATAAAAAAACAGTCATTTACTATGGAGAATTCTCGCAATATGTTACGTTAATTTACAGCCCAGAAGTCGTTAATGTTTTCGAAAATAGTTAGACATCGAGACGGAAGCTTCCAATGACTTTTTTCTAATGTTAGTAGCCTACTACAAACTTTACAGTTACACTTAACATCAAGGTCGTGCTTTCTCCCACACCTAAATAAAATATACCAGTTTGCAGTCCTCGAATATTAACAGACTGTTATCGACGCATTTAGGTTTAAAAACAAACAGTAATTGCTAACACAGGGTTGCCAACTTTGGGTACCTGGCTGGAGTGAGATTTTGATATCATGGGTTTAATTACACATATGCGCACTAAATGACTGCTATCGTGTCAGTAGCGGGACCTTAGCATATATATAGGATATATATATACAATATATACAAATACACAATAATGGACACAGACTATAAAGGGCACACAGTTTCATTCACTAATGAAAGTCAAACACATGTTTGTTTCCACTGTTTTATTGTGTGCCTGTCGCGATAAGCAAATAATTGACTTATCGTTCGATAAATAAAAATGAACTCGATAAATTGCCATTTACATGAGGATGTGACTAGCAGTTATAGTTATATTATTTATTATCATTATGTCAGTGGTCTAAAATGGCCATACAACGGTGCCGACAATATTATCGTTTATCGCAATAATTTCCGGGAAAATGTATCCAACAAAATTAATTATCGTGAGAGGCTTATACATGAAACACACACACACAAACACATCTACAGACTTACTCCAAACTGCCAAATATATTAATTAACACACTCTCACTCTGATATACTCTTTGACTCTATTTTGGCCTAGTAGAACCAGGGCCGTATCCAGGATTTCCTAAATACCGAGGTCCAAACATGCTAGGGGGGTTCGGGGGTATACTCCCCCGAGATTTCCGGGATTTTCATGATCTAGTTAGGTGCTTTTTAAGTCCTGTGGGGGGTCACAAATTGGATAATATATCGATTTCAAACCATGTCAGTGGGCTGCAGCATAAATTATGGCATCCGTCGTAACGGTCTCTTTGCGGAAAGGGACGGAGCCCATGGCCACGCCCCTTGACATATACGATCTCTCCCTCCATGGGGTAGAGTGGAGAGGCACTGTTGTGACACCCTGATTTTTCTGTGCCTGTGCAACTTGGGGTCCAAGTGGAGGCAGCTGTCAGCTTGCCCAAGAGCCGGAGAAAGAGAATATATGCCAGAGACCTGCCCCTTCGGAAGAGGGGAAGAAGCTGAAGGATGTCGTCCAGGCGCTGAGCAGATGGACAGGCCCGCATAGTGACTGTGTCCAGAGCCACACCAATGAAGGTTAGGCTCTGAGAGGGGTTCAGACAACTCTTCTCCATGTTCACCTTGAAGCCTAGTCGAGCGACATGAGAGAGAAGGAGAGCCGTGTCCTGGGTCGACTGCAACCGGGATGGTGCACAGATCAACCAGTCGTCTAAGTATGGCAGAATCTTCATACCGTGAGACTGCAGGGGCGAGAGGGCTGCCGCGTCACACCTGGTGAACACCCTTGGGGAGAGGGAGAGTCCGAATTGGAGCACCCTGAACTGGAAATGACGGCCTCTGAAGGCAAAACAAAGAAACTGCCTGTGATGAGGCACAATAGGCACATGAAAATAAGCGTCCTTCAAGTCGACGGACGTGAACCATTCCCCCCTGGCAACGGTACGAAGAACGTCCGCTGTGCTCAGCATATGGAAAGGTCAAATCTTTAGGAACTTGTTGAGTCCCCTCAGATCGAGGATTGGGCGAAGTCCACCGCCTTTCTTCCTTACCAGGAAGTAGGTAGAGTAGAAGCCCCCGGGCTGTGAGATGGGGTCCACCGGCTCGATTGCACCCTTGGCAAGGAGGACTGACAGCTCCTGGTTTAGGGCTACTTTTTTTGCCGGGTCGCTTATGGTGGTCATTTTGACCCGGCTGAAGGCTGGGGGCCGGCGTCGGAACTGAAGCTTGTACCCTTGGGTTAAGGTGGAAACCACCCAGGGGTCTGAAGCTTGAGCTACCCAGTAGTCGAGCTGCTGCTGGAAGAAATAACCGACAGCCGGCCCCAGACCCTCAGTACCTTGCCCCCCAGCCTCTGGAGGCTCTGGGGGGGCAACGGTTAGGCACCGGATGCCGAGGCTGCCTTGGGGGCGAGTTAGCAGGTGGTGCAGCTGGTAGTGGGCCGGCCCCCTCGTGGGACGCTGAGGCACATGGTGGGCACCGGGGTGAGCCGGTGGATGGGAGCGGCCTCGGGAGGCAGACGCGGAACCTCTAGGCCTACCGAGGGGGGGCATGTCTCTGCGAAGAGCTGAGAACAGTTGCCTGGTCTGACTAGCTTGGACAGTCCGTTCGAGCACCTGTACGGCAGGTGAACCAAACAGCTTCCCCGGCTCCACTCCATTTCCATTGCAGCGCGTAGCTCGCTTTAAGCGTGCCGTGTCGTGCCGTCCCCTTTTTTGGTTGTGCTTCCACTAGGCCTCGTTCCGGCGCGGCACGGCGCGGGGCCACTTTTTCCCCTCTTTTCTGGCCCTAGAAAATTGTGGTTCTATCGGGGCCAACAAACAGGGCTGAGTCGGGCTGAGTATGCTAAACTAGAGAGAGGAGCGCTGGCAAGAGGGCTAGAACTACAACAAGATGGACATATTTGACCGTGATTTAATTGTAATACACGTTTCAAAATGATGCCGAAGTAACAACATACTGATACCGGTTAGTAAAAACCATGAATTAATGCTTTGTCAAGTCTGCAGACAGACGGCAGGCGAAAAACCTTTTAAAATTCGTGTTTTTCTAGATGGAGATTGGCTAAGCTAACGCAGTATATGCCCCGACCGTCCACACTCACAACAACGGCCTATACAGACATAAATAAAGCAGCGACTGTATTCACCATGACACAGGCAGTCTGTGGTGTGTACTTGTTTAACTTTTGTCGAGTTTCTGAACATATATAAGGAGCTGTGAGCTCTGAGTGCTCACAGCTAACGGCTGTGTTGTGCTTCTGGATTTCTCATTGAAGATGACGTCACGGCTCCGCCTACACTGCGTTACTATAGTAACTACCCCAGTTCCTAAACTGTAATGGAAGCGCAGCATGAAGTGAGTCGGCCCTGTTAAGGCCCAACGCGGCCAAGCCGTACCGAGCCGTACCGAGTGTGGCCGAGGCCGACCGTGTAGTGGAAATGCGCCATTAGTGTCCCTCCAGCATGCATGTAACTCCCTCAGATACTCACAAGAGAGAGGAACGGTAAAGGTGGCGGGTGCCAGAGTGTGCCTGAAGATTGCACTGGCAGGCGCTGTTTCTGGCTGCCGTACATCCAGCTGCTGGCGAGCCAGTGCCATGTGAATGACGGCACCCATGGAGCTGTCATCTGCCCCCTCAGAGTATCCATGAGCTGAGTGACAGGAGCCAGGCCCAGAAGCATGGGATGGGCCCTCCTCGTCATACTCATTAAAATGAGTGGCTGAAGCTGCCATCGAGACCACATCGTCATTAGGAACCAGCTCAGCCATGGGTGGATTGGGTGCAGCGGCGTGCTCTGTACGGGCACCAGAATGGAGAGCCAGGAGGAGTGACTTCATCTGGGCTAGCTCAGTACTTAGCAGGTTTAGTCCTCTTCTTGGGCGGGGCAGCCTCTGCGGCCCAACACCTAGGATGGGTAGGTTGGGCTGGAGTCGACTGTGCAGGGGGAAGGCCACCCTCAGCCAGTAGTTCTACCTCGGCTAGTCTAGCAGCTCTTACCGCACGAGGCATGATGGTGCAATTCCTGCACGGGTCCTCCGAAAGGCCCTCCCTCAGATGCTCGAGGCCAAGACAAGAGGGGCAAAGGTCATGGCCATACAGGTGTTACAGCCGTTAAACATAGCGAGAGTACCAACGAAAACTCCACACTAATTGCTGCTGGCAGCTTAAGTCAGTCTGAGCAAGAGCACTCAGCTGACTGTAAATAACCGGGCCAGGAAACAATATATGCAGTGAGAGGGGAGTGAGCACAATATTAGTTAGCGTTAGCGTGAGCGCTCTGCTACTGGGCTGAAAAATGAAGTCAGTTAACGGTATATATGCCATGAGAGGAGAGCGGGGATACTCTCTCCACTAGCGCCGTAGCAAGTTAGCCTAAGCGAGAGCACTCAGCTAACTGGAGGATGGAACAGGAACCAATTGTGTGCCGTGAGAGGGGAGCAAAGACACTCTCTTCACTAGCGCCGTAACGAGTTAACTTTGAGCGAGAGCACTCAGCTAACTGGAGGATGGAACAGGTAAGGAACCAAATGTGTGCAGTGAGAGGGGAGCGAAGACGCTCTCTTCACTAGTGCAGTAACAAGTTAGCTTGAGCGAGAGCACTCGGCTAACTTGGGGACACAATTATTTATTAGCTTGAGAATAGATAGCACAATCAGAAAGAAATGGCAGCGATCTCACCGACTGACGTGCAGGAGCGTCCGCTCTTTACCGGTCCGGAGCTCCTGGGAGTCCGAGCGGTGAACACCGCGGTTCCCTCCCTTGGGAGGGGGACAGCTCGTCGCAGCCTTTGAAGGGCGAGCGTTTTATATGAGCTAGACTAATCGATTTTTTTCAATAGGCTAGCTTGGCTTCTACTCATAGAGTAGTAACCTGTGCAGCGAGAAGATGAAAAAGGACTGAACTCGTTGACAACACCGGAACTTATGCCTTCCAGGGTCATACGAGGTCACATGTGACTTTGTTGATATAAATATTCGACCTGCGCATGCGCGAGACAGAAGATATTCAGTGCTAAGCAGTAAGGATTAAATAGAACTACTGCTGTTCTCAAAACAGGAGGGAGAAACACTGTTTCTGTATCACAATGTATGGCATAGGCCTACTGTCTAAGTTTAAAATAAGTTATCCTTATACATTTGCAGCAGATTAAAATAGCACAACCTTTTGGAAAACATTCGGTTGTCTTTTCTTCCCCACAACTTTTCATAAAACACTTAGATGATACAATAAGTGACAAGTAGTAGCCATTAACAGTAGGGATGCCAATTTTGGGGCCGATCGCCGATCCGATCGAGTGGGCGGGGCCTAAATGGAAGATTTAAACATCACTTTAAATCTTCCATTTAAAGTGATGTTTAAAACTCAGTTAATGGGGCTCATTCACTGGAGCTTCCACAAACAACAATCAACTTAATTATTACATTCAAATTATGTATATTATTCAAGTTTACATTCACTTTGGATAATACCACGGGAGAAATGAGCGGAAGCGCTCTCTTTTCCTCTCTCTCCCTCTCTCTCTCCCCCTCTCTCCCCCTCTCTCCCCCTCCTGACAGCCCGTCAGTATCGTCTCATGCAGCTCGCTGATCCAGTAATGTGTGAGGCCGACAATGAAGAATAAACATATTTATAACTAGTTTAGCTTGTTCCAGAGGTAGATAAAATAGCTAAGTGTGTTAGGTCTAACTCTTGTGTGTTTCGCTCCGCTCACCGGTCCGTCACAGCGGGTGGAGCTGCAGGATTTCTGCTTCACACACACGTTGCATACCGCTATTTTACTGTCTTTTTCGGACACCTTAAAATAATGCCAGACCGGTGAAGCCATTTTGGCGAGCTTGTTTTGCCGCGTACAGAAAAAAGTGTCATGTATTTTACGTCATGCGATCGGCCCTCGCGATCGGCATGTTTAGAGCGCACCGATCGATCGGTAGAGAGTGAGTATCGGCAGATCTCGATCGGTGACCGATCGATCGGAGCATCCCTAATTAACAGCAACTCAGAAGACACAATAAAGTTGTAAGAAGAATCATTACAGCTGTCTCACATTATAAATGGGCTAGTAGGATTTTGTCTGTAAAGAAGCTGCTGCAGCACAAGTGTTAACCCAACCACCCTCTCCATGTAGTTTCCAACAGCTGCTTTCACTCCATGGCATTCCACGTAAGCTAACTGAAAGAGGTCACAAGTAGTAACCTTACATTAGATGGACAGAGAGCATCAAGCTGAACTGGACAGCTGTAGCTCAACTTGAACACATGATATTATTTAGCATTACCTATGTTGTCTATACTACTGCAATTATTTGAGACAACATGACAATTGCAGCATGAGTCTCTGTAAGCCGTTCCATCTTCCTCCACTGTGAGGCTCATAAAGCCAAGGAGAGGGGAGCCACATGCCTGGTCAACCCCTCCTGCTATGACTCAGTCCTCCTTCTCTGTGGGTTGTGAACATCCCCAGGAGGAGACAAGGTTGTAACAAGATCCTCAAGTCTTTGGTGGACGGGCAGAGAGAGCATCAGTCACAGGGTGCTCAAGGCGAGCTGGCTGAGTGGACATAGACTGTAGCACATTTCCTCTGCTTTCTCTTCAAAAGCTGGGAGACTGATAGGAAAAGTTAGGGGTTTTCTGAGATGGATGCATGACCCACATAGTAAGTAATGTTAGCAATGGAGCATAAAGGAGATCTTCAATGTCCTTGTGGTGTAGGGCAGCTATTCAACATGCCAAAACATAGCCTATGGCAGGTGAGGTTGTCTTTTCAGCAGATGTAAACCTTGTAGCATTTAGTGAGGTATACCTGTTGTTAGGGACACACCCAGCAGCCGCAGGTTGTTGGCCACTATTTCCAACTGGATAGTAAGGTGGAATATCCGGTTTTCACCCTCTCCTTGACTATGCTCTTCTGAGGAGTGGCCTGCAGGATGGCTTTAGCAAATGTGAGGAGATGACTGCAAGACTAGAATAGAGTGCCACCCCATTAAACAAATTGATAATCTAAACTACATTTTAGAAGTGCTGTAGAAATACTGTCTATACTTCAATCACCTTACAGACCTGTCAATTGGCAAGCCAGCAAACTAAGTGCAGGCCCTTTTGGTGCTGTGGCCCTGAAAACTGAGCTAATGAGGTTGATTGGCAGCAGCCAGGGCCTAAGCTCCAACAGGATGCGTGTTTAAAAAATATCCCATAAATTATATTAAAACTTAATCTGTGCATAATTAAAGACAAAGTAATGTGACTCATTGATTCATGATTTGATAATGGTTTTATTAATTTTATAATAACAGAAAACAATTGTTTAAACTTAAACCAACATTTATTATATGGTTAAATAAGATACAAAATATGACCATATCTAGGTGGTCCATACACGCAGTATATAGCAATTACCTGACACCTTTCAGTTTTTTGTTTACTTTTTCACTGCCCTATACTTTGGCATGCATGCTCAACAGCAAACATAAAGCATAAAAAACCCCAGAATTTTGCAAGTAAATTATGATGTTAACTTGACATTTAGTCATCATTATAAGAGAATGAATTAGTAGTTTGTCGTATAAAACAATATTGCAGAGAAAACATTCAATAAATCTCCCTGCTGGTTAGTTAGTCCTGCTAAAGAGTTTATTAGCAGTAAGTCCTTCTAGTAAAATAACTCTCTTTCAGTTATTTGAAACACTGTAATTATGTCCCTTAAAATAGATGTAGTGTTCATCCTGTGAAATTAGCATTTGTATTGACTGATACCAAAGGAATGTGTTCTATGTTATGGGTTATTTCTGTCCCTCATGCTCCTTGTGTCAGTCCACTGTTGGACCTTAGTAGAATCTCCTGCTGCTGTCTGCTCTCCAAAACATGACTTACTGTGTTGGTTTTACCTCTTAAGTCTTAGAAGCACTAGCACATCAGTGTGCAGAGTATTCTGGTGATCAGCTGTTTCTCTCGTGTTCATGTTATGCTTTTTACGTGCACATAATAGCAATTATGTTCAAAGGCAACCCAAGCCATGTAGGGCTGTATTATTATGAAAGATGCATTTCAGAGAGAGTAAATTAATGTAGACAGAGATACACAGGTCATTGGGATAAGTCTGATTTCCATATCTTGATTTTCCAGTTAGAAAAGGTATTCTCTTGGAAGGTAAAACAACTGGGACTGGACCACTGCACGTCATGTATACCAAAGTAATTGAGTTATCCCTGTCTTCTGTTAATGTGGTGAGGTATTGCTTTAACCCTATGCTGCCTGTTGGTCTGTATCTCTAGGAGCCTGTCCTCCCCTGGTCAGACTCTGTTACACATTACCTTTCAGAAAGATGTTATCATCACAACCATCCCCCACATGGAGCCTGTCACAGAATGACACAGCCCACAACAAAACCAATCTGCTGGGCTGGCTACTCTGTACAACCACATGCCTTCTGCAGTGCACTAAGTTAAAGTGCAATTTGGATCCCTGTGCAAAGTCCATGACAAAAGAACAGTTCGTTTTATATAACTGGCGGCCCTCATGTACTTATTACTGAGCTTAAGTCATCCACTTTGTGTAAGTGTGCTTTGTGTGCATATATTCTGCCTTCTAGGTTTCAAAGGGAGCTATAAAAAAAAGCAAACATATAAACAAAATACTTGAGGCTGAACAAATTAGGCAATTATTAGTAGTGTGAGAGCAAAGATGGCTGCTTTTGGAGTAATTGTGTTAAAAATATCTTTATTGTGGTGGATCATGTTTGGGTAGGAGGGATCGTTTTGCCCCCACTGGGCCAGCCTCGATGAGCCAGAGAGGTGTGTGTGTGTGTGTGTGTGTGTGTGTGTGTGTGTGTGTGTGTGTGTGTGTGTGTGTGTGTGTGTGTGTGTGTGTGTGTGTGTGTGTGTGTGTGTGTGTGTGTGTGTGTGTGTGTGTGTGTGTGTGTGTGTGTGTGTGTGTGTGTGTGTGTGTGTGTGTGTGTGTGTGTGTGTGTGTGTGTGTGTGTGTGTGTGTGTGTGTGTGTGTGTGTGTGTGTGTGTGTGTGTGTGTGTGTGTGTGTGTGTGTGTGTGTGTGTGTGTGTGTGTGTGTGTGTGTTCGCTCTGCTGTGCTGAGCTGTGAGCAGAGGAGCCCCGCCAGCCAGCTTGCTCTAACTGCACACAGTCCAACAGCTCGTCTCTTCTCTCTGCTCCAGATGATGCCTTGGATTTAGCCGGCCCACATGAGTGATATGAATAACACACTGGATGGAATACACACTTCTGGAAGCCTCGAGGAGAAAGCAGAGATTTATCAGAGTGGCAAGGGTAATGTGAGTGGTTTTCCCAGCCCAACCCTTATCCCTTTGCGAGCTCCTTTACCAACACCAAATGCTCAGAAGATCAGGACTACGCTCTGCAAGGGGAACAGGTATGGCACGTTTATCTTTGCACTTGCTGACACCAGTTTGTTTAAAAGATTCAATAAATAAAAAGATTCAGTTGCACTAACAACGTGTTGCCTAGTTTACACTTGAGCTGCCCTGCAGAAGAATAGTACACTCTTTGTATTTGCAGGAGTGACACACAAAGGTCTATTTGAAAGCTGTAGTGTAGACTTTGTACCTGTAAACACAATTGGCTCGACCCAAACGCAGCTGTCAATGGAGTGTAATGTACTATTTCAACAGTGCAGTGAAAGACCTGGAATCAAATCAAGCACCTGTTAGTTTGTGGGAGATAATTAGTAACTCAGTAACTGCTGTGTTTACAGAGCAGTAAAGAAAGCGTCAGTCAGAGAATGCACCTTTCACAAACTGAGGCCCTTTCTTCTGCAAGTGTGCGGAAATCCAATCTTAGCCTTATGATAATCAAATATGGTATTGTCTTTTATCTGTTAAAGGTCCCATGACATGGCCATTTCTACTGATCATAATTCCATTGTTGAGGTCTACTAGAATAGATTTACATTGTTCAATGTTCCAAACTCACATTGGTTTCTCATACAGCATCTCTGTATAGTATGTGTATTCACTCTCTGTCCTAAACGGCTTGTTGGAGCTCCTGCTCCCCCCCCCCCCGCCCCCCCTATGAGCCCAGTGTGCTCTGATTGGTCAGCTCGCCCACTCTGTTCTGATGAGTCCACCACCGTTACAGCGGAACATCAGTGATTATGTGTTACAATGGCGTTTGTTAGCAACCAGAAAATGACACCAGTAATGACAAACAGATGAGAATGCTGCGTGGGGTCTAGGTGCCGTGTTGGCGGGACATTGCAGGGCTCGCTGCTCCGCCCTTTGAGGCTCGAGAAGCGGCCAGTGTGAGCTGTATTACTGGTATCATTTCCTGGTTGCTGCGTGAGGTCTGCGAGACAGCGAGACAACGCGAAACTCAGCCTGAACTCAGCCTGAGCACACACACACACAATCGTAGCCTGGCTGTGAGTTTGTGTGTGTGCTCAGGCTGAGTTCAGGCTGAGTTTCGCTGTGTCTCGCTGTCTCAGGCTGAGTTCAGGCTGAGTTTCGCTGTGTCTCGCTGTCTCAGGCTGAGTTCAGGCTGAGAAATCCGCGGAGCAGCGGCTGAGAAAAGATAAGGCTGAGTGAGTGTGTGTGTGTGTGTGTGTGAGGAAGTCTGCGGATTGGTCCAAATGTAGCCGTTGCGTCACTTAGCCCCTTATGTCACTACGACCCAGGAAAAAAGAAATGGAAAAATAAAAATCTCCAACGAGGCGTTCTGGGGCAGCATAGACAGGTATTTTCTGTGTTAGAGTTTTACTCGCTACAGGGTGTACTTTGAGGGTTCGTGACTTTGCAGACCGTTTACATGCATAAAAAGCTACATAACACACAAGGGGACGGGTAATAACCGCATGACATGGGACCTTTAACATAATTTTCAGATTCATTCAGATTTTAGTTTACTGTAAGGACATGTTGAATACATTTTAGTACTAGACAAATCATCCATCCTGGCTACTGTTTAGTGCATCACATTCGCTAAAGCATTCCCTTAGGGGTTGTGTTAAGTGAGTGACACTTATTTATAACATTTTGAGATTATGACTATTTTCGATAACACAAAACCTTTTTTTCTTTCTGCTAGCTAATACATGTTAGTGGTTAAATCAGGGGCAGCTCATGCACTGCATTATCTTATCAAAGTCTGATGGTGTGTGGGGTGAGTCGCTGTGTGGTTGAGAGCGGGAGGAGTCCATGCAGAGACAGACTAGTGTTTCTCTCAGTTTATCACCTGCTTCGTTTATACTCCCCATTCCTCTACATGAGACACATGCAGCAAATAAACCAGCAATGTGTTGTAACAGCTCTTCAAGGTACATGTTGCAAAATCAGTCTAGCATAAAGTCTAATATTATGATGTTACAATCAGACTGACAGGCAAGATAGGAAGTGTTTATTTGTATCAATCTCTTTAAAAGCTTGATTTCCACTGCAGGTTTCTTGCAATAAAATACAAATTGTTTATCTGCTTGATACATAGTTTCCCTGTAGCTTCTTTGTATGATTAACTGTAACTTTGAGTGTGTAATATTCAACCAAAATGACACAATGGAAACGTGTTTTGTTATTGCTTTACCCTAACATCAAATAGAATTGGGTGGACATTATACATTGGCCAAACAATCTGCTTTTTTGAGAACTAATTTTAAATTCAAGTCTATTTTATATGTATAGCCTAATATGGCAAAATGGGGCTTTGACATTTGTACAGCATACCACCCTCTATCTTTTCGATCCTCACATTTAAAACAAGATGTGACTAATATTTGCCACATTTTGAGCAGCATCTGTTTGTTTATCTCTCTGTCTGTATTTATTTTCCTTTTAGGAGCAATGAAAAGGGAGAAGATTCAATCTCTTCCCCTGTTCCAAACCCTTTCCCTGAGCTCATCGCCTCAACCCTCACCCCCCTCCTCTATGAATGTTTATTACCATCGACCAAAAGTAGTGCAACTCAGGTGAGTGTCCCATTTCATTTACAGTACTAGAAGGTGTTTGTTTTACGGAGCCCCTAAAGGTTAATGGAGAAGGAAAAAAAAGTATCTTGTGCGCACGATATACTTTCCCGTTCGCACGAAATACTATTTTGTGCGCACAAGATAGTATTTCGTACGAACGAGAAAGTATTTCGTTAGTTTCTCGTTCGCACGAGAAAGTTACCGGTGCGCCAAGTAGGAAGTGGAGCACAGAGGAGACAACCGTTTCATTCCAGACTGTTATGTTTATGTGGAGAAATGGCAGTGCATACATTATTTGAGATATATTTCAAACTCGGACTTCATTTAGGGACATTTTGGCCAGGGGTTTAGAGCTATTTGTTTAAGCACCGGATTCGCAAAACAGAAGAGTCTGTAAACCAGTCTGCTTTGATCTATGAATTCCTGTCCGTGACTCTCACAGTATCTGCTGCCCACAGCTGTTTTATAGAAGGAAAACCTCCTTCACTTTATGAAATCTCTGCGGCACCAGTGGCCTGTACTGGCATATCCAGGGTCTGTTGAACTGGCTTCGTCGTACAGGGCACTGGAGGCAGTAACGTGCAACTCAGCAGAATCTGAGAAGAGCAGCACCAGCTTTTACTTCACTGTGTTTCCCTTCATTAGAACAGCTGAATAGAGATCGAGGCTGCTACGTTTAACCACACACACATCGAACTGCCAGAGAATTTCCCCTATTACTCGTTTTATGAAGGAGATGTCCGGTCACCAGGGCGCATGATGTGTGTGTGCTTGTGCTCAGCTCCGCTCTGTGTGTGTGTGTTCGGTGTGTTTGTGTGTGTCCGACACCACCGGCATTTGTTTTCAAATTACCATGAACAGTAATTTACACACATCTGGTTCTCCATAGTTATATGTGTATTCCCAAGTGAAAGAAATTTGTTTAATCTTAATCTCGATGTAGTGCTATAGTCCTGCCAGAGTGCACCGGAACGAACAACACTATCATAAACAAATGCCCACACACACACACACACACACACACACACACACACACACACACCCTGGCGACCAGACATATTCTTCATAAAACTAATAATATGGCGTAATAATCGGGCAGTTCGATGTGTTTTACCATAAGAAAGTATCTTGTGCGAACGAGAAAATATATCGTGCGCGCAAATTAATAAAGCGTGGCCTCGTATTTGAATTGAGGCCACGAATTACATCTCGTGCGCACGAATTAATAAAACGTGGCCTCGGTTTATTTATTTTTCTCTCTATGAACCCTCCAGGGCTCCGTAATTTGTGACACAAAGAGTCATTCTATTTATAATAAAATAATAAATAAGGCCTCTGCTGAACAAATAACAGAAAAACAACTGCAGGCCATAATAAGATTTAAATAAATGCATTGTTACATGTCTGGCTTGCGAATTATCTACAACGTCAGGGCATATGGATGGTAGAACCAGTTATGTGAGTGTGTGGATTCACACTGATGAGATTAAAAAGCACACGTAGACACTTCACATGCACAATGTTACTACTTCGAAGAGCCTATATATATTCCTACATACAGTGGCTATTAAACAATGTCAACATGGGCAATACATATGTCTGATACCACATGTTGATATTGCATCATACATTTTATTATAAATGTATGTTTAACACAGGAAATACCTGGCTTAGTGCCCAGCAGCCATTCACTGTACCTTTGTCTTTGAGCACATGTTGTGTGATGTGCACTGAATGTGGGGAAGTACCTGCTTGTCCCAGAAAAGGTTTTCAGTCCAATCTAGATCTCAAGTTTATTTTTTTGTATTTGTTTAGTCCCGCCCCTCTTAGTTGATGTTGCTACACCTTTCCCTTTAAGTGTAGCAGGGGCCCATTTGCAGGTAAAATGATAACAAACACAGATTTACCACTCTAAATAAATTCATAGTAGCCGTTAAAACAATGGGTCTTTGATCTCAAACAGAAGTAGTTAAAGGTTTCTCATTGCTAACAATTGGCTGACATTACAACAGTAGCTAGCACTTTTTATTGTTGGCTGACTTGTTGGAATAAAAGAACTCTTAATGCTTATCAGCTTACACTGTTGGTAGTAAGCTAGTAACCTGGGAATGTTAAGACCGCATTGACCAGACAAGCAAATTGCATCATGCGTTCCTTGAATTGTGCTTTAGTGTTTTTGGAAAGGTGTCTGCAGCTTTTGTTGTTTGAAGCTACAATCTAAAGATCTCTTAATTCTGGAAATGGATCAGTCTGAAACAAATGACCTGGAAATGATGCAGGTGATACACAACTCATTATGAATAATCATTTAGTTTATGAACTCTCTTTACCCTAATGAAAGTCAGAAGAAAAAACAACTATGCACAGCAAAATATTACTTAATATGACTCTGAGATCTGTTGTTGATTTGTACATTTATAAAAACCCACTGCCAAATTCTAAAAAGAGAGCACATTCATTATGTTAGAAAGCTAACAATTATGGGTCTGCTTCAAAAGTGCATGGGTTTTAAAATGGATTTTGTCTATACATTTTCCAGGGCTATTAAATGTGTCTGGTTTGTCAACCACTAGATATTTCCTGGATGCGGATCCCTACAGAATACTGTATGCTGAAGTTGATTTCAGGTTTTTCAGTATCTTTGTGGTATGTGTGTATCTATGTGTGCATGTGTAGCAGCGGGGGGCAGCTAAAAGCAATGACTCATAGGAAAGCTTGAAATTATAGAGCTCAGCAGTTACCAAGGACTATCAGCAGCGTAGACCTCTCTGTGCGCATGTGTTGCTTTCATGCTGAGAAGGAAAAAATACAGAATGCATAAAAAAGTTAATTTTATGTTGTTTTTATCGGAAGCTATCATTGAACTGGAAGTAGATGTGTGATTGAAACGAGTCTGATCAAATGTGTGGTTGTCTCCACTTCATATGCAAATCTCAAATGAACCCTTCTGCTCTATTCCATCCTCACTCAATTCAACGTTTAAAATAAGACAATTACAGAGTGATTGCTAATTCTTCTATCCTCTCAACAGCCTATTGTAAATACGGGCCAGGGATCTGCACAGATTTGGCATTTTCTTTGATAAATGCGTGAACAATCCTCAAGTTTCTCAGTGGAGGAGCAATATGACACCCTGTTGACCTCACTCTGCGACAATGTGGCGTCCTTGTAAGCAAATCCTAAAGTGCTCCTTATGTATCTCGTTGATGAGGCCTGTGCCTGCACCTTGTGGGCCTGACAACCTCTTACAATGTCCTTTCAGCAGCGGTATTGGGAAGACAAAGGGAGTATGTCAGAGTGAAACAGCTGTTTTCGTGTCACAATCCTCATGTCACAGGGTTATGACCTTTTTTCAGTTGCGCTCAAGAAACCAATGACATCATTGTTCCAACTGTGCAGCATTCATCCCCTCACCCACCCTTCTGACTTTCATATAAAGGAAAATTGTCTATTGAGTTTCCCAGTGTGTCGCTTTGGGTAGTCATTTTCCTATCAGTTACAATTATCTGAAAATAATAATCTTCTACTAAGGACAGGCTTAGATTATGAAATGAAAAGGCAAGGAAAATCAGGAGCGTCAGTAGATGTGGCATCTGAAAACAACTCAGTGTGTAGCTGACCATGTTTTGAGGTTTACAGTTAATTTGATTGAGATTTGGCTAGATTCTTAGCTTGACTTTGCTTTGTTTTACACAGGCTTGAAAGCTATTTCACTCTAGACTGGATTTAATCTGGTTTAAAACTGGTTTTAGCTAACCCCCCTGTTATCCCTGTGTTTCAGCGTCATGGTTCATTTCTATAACAACACGACCAAGTCATGACTGCCACATTATTATTATTTGATGTTATGAAAAAGTGCCTTTCATTCAAGAAACCTTTCATGCTACAAATTGTTCAATTGGCAGACAGTTCTCTGTTGACATTGTTTGAATGGGTCAAATTAATTCCAAAAATATTTAGATAATTAATTATAAGTGTAATTGTTCCTGCTTTACTCTATTTTATCATCATGTTACACTGAATGTTATCATTTTTTGACTGACAAAACATTACATTTTTCCACTTTCCTACATTTTATAGACCAGACGTTTAATCAATGACTCAAGAAAACTATCCTTAGCTTATTCGATTGTGGGAATAATTATTTAGTACCGTGTATTCCTCCATGATGCAATCGCAAAATAAACTGCACACACACGCCTGTGTCCAGAGTGTTCAGTTCAGCCATATGTCTCAGAGGAAATGCCTGCCCCTATAGAGATGTTATTTCAGATGCAACATGCATGTCCGTGTTCTCTGACTTTCAGCCTCTCCTCTACAGCAGATGTAATAGAGTCTCCAGGGTCACACTTAGTAAATATAAAACATTTTGTTCATGTTCCCTCCATTCAGTTACTAAATAGTTTGTCAGAGAGCTGCTTACTGAACGAAAAGAGCTATGCTGAAGCCATAACTTCTGTAATTGTATACCTTATTTAACTTTACATGTTGGAATACATATGTAATATATTATTGAAAACTGATAAGAACAATATATTTCAATAGTTTCATGTGAGAATCAGATGATTTAGAATTAGTAGTAGGGCTGAACGATTAATCGATTTTAAATCGAAATCGCGATTTTAAATGATACGATTATCAAATCGCAAAGCCTGCGATTTTTTTTTTTATTTCTTTTTTTTACTTCTTGTGTGTCAGTCATCCACACCAATCAGAAGTGCTGTACTCCACATGTACCAGCCATTGTTAACCAATCAGAAGTGGCCCATGATAGAAGGTGATAGACAGATTGATCCAATCACCTGCCAAGTATTTTTGAAAGTGCCTGCCCTTTCCAAATGGCTTCCAATGGAGCTTTCCTAGATGGTTTGGTGAAACAAACCATCTATTACAGGGTGAATCTTAAACTGAAGCTTGACTTTAAAGCAACCCAACGGAAGTTTCATGTAAGTTTAGTTCTTTCACTCGTAGCTCGGGCTGCGGGGTGCTAGAGACGGGAG